AGTGCATTTGTAGATGTTTAAATGAAAATATTCTTAAGGTAGAATTAGGGTACAAGATTTAGGACATGCTGATTTTAATAGAACATACATTTAAGGGTCAGGAAATTCCAACTTAAGGTTAAAGTATTTGAAAATCAAAAAAATCTAAATTTCACCAAATCAGAAAACACACAAAATTCTGGAATCAGCTGTGAATTCTTTTTATACATCTATACTTGGTAGGAGAAAGCCAGTTAAATGTGTGGGTGTAAATTTTGCTTAACCTAAAAGATTTATTGTTTTTAGTCTTGTCCAGTCAGGGACAAAATTGAAACCTTATGCTGCTGAGAAACCTGAAGTCAGTGTTGATCCCCCAGGTGAGTTAGGTCTGGAACATCTCCCAGCCCCCCTATGGACACGATAAGAATCACAGAGTGGGTTGGGTTGGAAGGGACCTTAAAGTCCATCTCATCCCAACCATGGGCAGGGACACCTTCCACTAGCCTAGGTTGCTCCAAGCCCTGTCCAGCCTGGCCTTGGACACTTCCAGGGATCCAAGGCCAGCCACAACTTCTCTGGACAACCTGTGCCAGGGCCTCACCACCTTCACACAGAAGAATTCCTTCCCAATATCCCATCTAACCCTTCCCTCTGGCAGTTTGAAGCCATTTCCCCTTGTCCTTCTCTCCATCCCTTGTCCAAAGTCCCTCTCCAGCTCTCTTGGAGCCCGTTTAGGCACTGGAAGGGGTGGTAAGGTGTCCCTGGAGCCTTCTCTTCTCCAGATTTTATACCCCCAGCTCTCTCAGCCTCTCTCCATAGTTGTGCCATGAGGAGGAGCTCGAACAGTCCCAGGCTGATTTTTCTCTCCTCCTGCCCATGGAAGAGCAAAGGAACATCCCCCCTCCCTGTGCCCCCAAACTCCCACCAGGAACTGGGGGAGCAGGCACTGCACTATTGCCTTCCTAATGCCCCTGCAGCACTGCAGCCTCTGGGAATGCATGTGCCTTCCTCAGGGAGAGCCAGGGAGGAGCTGCACTGGAACCTGGTTCATGACAAACACGTTGTAGTGGCTGAACTTCGCTGCAGAAGCACCTTCTGCCCAGGTCTCTCTCAGCCAGGTTCTCTTCTCTCTCTGGGCTGCCTCAGTACCTGTTTCTGGTTTGGGCCCTGTCATTACAGCAACAGCTTCACATTTGGAGACCCCCAATTGCCAATCTGCAGTAAAGCCGCACTGTCTGTTTGCCAGCAAGTGCCCTTCCCCTTCTGAGAAAGCAGGAGGCACATTCCTGAGGCTTCCTCACTGTTGGATCAATCCATGTTGCTACAATAGATTATTTTCCTTTTTTTTCACTGCTTGGCTCTGCCTTTCCCTCTGTTCTTACACTTTCCACTGAACAGCCATGTGGCAGCTCTGGAGCCGTGGCCACACTGTGACCTCAGCATGTGCTGGACAAAGATTCCATGTGCCCAGAGAAGGGGGGTGTCTGTCCAGCCCCCCTTCTCCACCAGTGAGGTTCCAGAGGGCAAGAAACCCACTCTTCACCTGTCTTCCTCCCGGTGTTCTCCTCCACTGCAGCAGAGAGTGCAGGGCCAAGGGCTTCTCAAGAGGGAAGTGATCTCTGAGTGCTTTATGGAGAGACAGACTTGTACAACCAGGAGCAAATTCCCTGTTAGTTTAGATGGAGATTTGACCAGAATTTTTCTGCTTACATGGGGCTGGGAGGTGGCCTGTGGAGTTTGCTCATCCCATAACTTCAAGAAGTTCATGGTGAAATCTCTTGGAAGGTCCTTTGCCGGTCATGTCGTGCTAATGACTTCAATGATACATGTTCTAACAGCAGTGAAATGCAAGAAGCCAAAACTACCTTAACAAACACGGTTCATTTAACTAAAAGAGGCAGACTGAGCAGCAGGTGGAAGGGTTAAACAAAAGGAAAAAAGATTATAAAAGTTTGCGGCTTTGGCTTCACTACAAATGGCCCTCTTGCAGCCTTTATAGCATTAGTGTTGCTTCTCATAAAGCTTGAAACCATTCATCCATTTAGAAAGATTAAATTGGTCAGTCATCCAGAACAGAAAATGTACACATCCATTTTGTCTGTTACCCTAAACCAGCTGAAGTATAATAAATGCACTTGATGCCATTAAACTAAAGCATTGAGTATTAATGATGCCTCAGCTGGGGGATTTACAGTTTGCCTGTGTTCCTGATGGTACATTCATCTGCTGCTGCTCAGGGACAGTCAGAGCAGAGCCTTTGAGTTGGAAAACACAACTATAATATATGATGTGAGGGGCTCAGAGGAAACATCTTGGTACTAAAGCAGGGAAAATCCTAGAAATGTTACAATTTTTGTTATTCTTAGAAGATCGCAGTTAAAAAGTACAAACTTCACTTAGGATATCTTAATATATTTATGATGGTCTGTTAAACAGTTTGCAAAGACAGGTTTGTCTGGATTTCCAGTTGCAGATGAAGCTATTGCTATTTAAAGGCCTGTCACTTAAACAAGCCAGACAAAAATGGGCAGACTCTCCTAAAGAACGAATTTGTAGAGGCACTTGGTCAGGAAACAAGCTTATTATTAAAAATATAATAAAAATTAGATTTAATTTATCAGCATTTTTTCTTGATTAGTGTCAAGATTCAAGAAGTAGCATCAAGAAAATTTGCAATGGTTGCTTCAGAATACAAGGAAATTTAATTCCTGCTGCTTTGAAACCTGTAAGACATTCCCTCAAACGCAGGGATTTCCAGTGGGCTGGAAAAAACATGACATGTTTTTTAATTACTACATAAAGTGCCTTTAATCAGAGCATCCAGCTTGACACCATTAGAACTGGGAAGTAAACTCTATCCAAGTTTCCAGTTCCATGCTGGAAATGCCAGCTCATTCCTGCAGGAAACAGGAATCAGTATCCCATATTGGCTATCACTCAAAGCAGAGCAGATTGCCAGCTGTTCTTAAGCACAGGCTCGAGCAGCAGCAACTTCAGTGGAGCACAAGGAGGGGCTCCAAATGAAATATGCACTCCAAAACTTCCCTGACTATTCCCACCGAGCCCCAAAGTGCTGCTCCCTGTCCCTGCAGCCTCAGGGAGATGAGGGCACTTCCAGGGAGTCCAGAGGGTCCAGCATCAGACACTGTGCTTAGGATCTGTTTGATTTGTTCTATTTTTTTTTTTTGATTTTTGTTCCGAAACATTTCTGGTGGCAAAAAAAAGCAACAATCCTCCCCCCTCCCCCTCAGCATTTGTGTTTTACTGCAAATACAAACGGCAACACTACCAGGAGGGAGCGAGGTGATCTGAAAGAGCCAGAACCTCATAAATTGTTTGTGTGGGAAAGCCTGCCTTGCCTTTTCTCTAACTGATGGCATGCCAAGTTTATTTTACAGTATTTACAGTAAGATTTGTTTGTTTTGATACCCTTTGTATGTTGTTAGGGAAAAGGCAGAAGAAAATCTCCAGGAAGTTTATAGTTTGTGATGAGACAGAGCTCGGGCTTTAATTTGCTTTCTAGCCCTGTACCTTTTACTGGGAGTGTAATATAGGAGGGGATATGAGATTGCAATTGGATGAGTTATTACTGAGCTGTTATTTATTTTCTCTGTATGAGTTTGGTGCTTAGGAAAGACCTCAGACCAGCATGCTGAGGAAGTGGAATTGTTGGTTCACTCTGAGAGCAGATGCAGGATGGGCAGGAACAGCCCTGCTTTCTCCTTCCTGCATCACAGTGCTCCAGGAGCAGGGACAACAGGCAGACTCTGCCTGTCCAGTTGAGGTCCAGGCAGATGACATGAGCACAAAATTATCCATTATGGGGTGGTCCCAGTGTGGCTGTGGGTTGTCTGTGCAAGGACTGACATTCCTGCCAGCTCCAGCACACGTGCTCTGTCAGGAGGAGAAGCCTCAGGTCTCCCTCAGGACAAGCACCCTGTGGTACAAAAAGACATAAAAAGTGGTACCTGAGAACATTTAGGAAGTAGGAAGTGTTTTCTTGATGTCCATCTTTAACTAGAGCATCCTGCCCTGAGTCTGCAGAGAAGGTCATCCATTGGCATGGAAAGTCTTCCAGGCAGGCAGGTGCTGCTCGTGTGAGCTTGTTGCACTGAAAGGGAAATAGAGGTGTTGAGTTCAATGCTGAAGCCTTAATTGTTTGAACCAAACTTCTGAACACGTTGTAGGGCCTTGGGTTATGGTAGGAGCAGAGAAATAGGAGACTAATGGTGTATTTTATGTGCTATGACAAACAGAGGTGTCACCTCTCCCTGACCTTTGCTGTGAAACGCTGGGGAGCCACAACCACTTTTCTCTGTAGTGGGAACGTTCCATTTCCATGTTTGACTCCCTGGGATGAAGCCTGATTGCCAAATGTTAGGAGCTTCTCCTACGGAGCTGGAGAGGGATTTACAAGGGCAGATTCCTTTTCATCCCCATTCTTCTGCCTGGCAGTTCCCTTAGGGATGGTATTCCAGAGATGTACACAACATGGCCTTCCCTGTGCCAGTGTTGATGTGCTGTGCACACCATGAGAGGGAAAGGGTATTTTGGGGTCAGCAAGTGTCTTGGAGCAAAGCTGGTGCCAGGAGATGCTGGCACAGCTCAGCACTGTTTGGTTTACACCTGTCAGGAGCAGGCAGCCTCTCAGCTCCTGTGTTTGGGTGAGTGTATTCATCATATTTAGCTTTTAAACAATATCCTTTTCATCTTCCCTGCACTTCACAGTTGTTAATTAATCACCCAGGGATTAATAGTAACACTTTACAGGGAGAAGCAGAAACGAGGAAAGAAGAGTTCAAGGTCATGGAAGCAGTTTTATCTAAGGACCGTCAGGTTTTGCAAGATTAAAGTGTTCTTAACTGGCCTCTCCTTGGATGTCAGCCTCCATTTTGGGGGCAGGGGGGAAGTTTTCATATTTAATGTATTTAGAGCTCCCCTTTCATTTGTTCACTTTAGCACATATTTTTTCTGAGGCAAATGGTGAACAGAACGTGCTCACAGTGCTTTCTTCTCCCTAGGACTTGAAAGATGATCGGAGTGATGAAGAGGAGGAAGATTCTGTCACAGATACTGAGGAGGAGTCCACAAAGAACGGCAGCAAGAGCAGCAGTGGGTCAAGCAAACACCTCCTCAGTGGCAGTCACCACTAGCCCTGTCCTGCCCCACCTCCTGCAGTGATTTCTGCTCTGGTTTCAGCCCAACCTACAGGATAGAATTTGAGTCAAAAGGCTTGTGAGAGACTGTGATTGATTTATTGTTGGCTACTGGACCTGGAAAAAAGGCCAGTTTAGAGGGAAGGGAGAAATTGCATCAAATGACAAAACGTGTTAACGACCCACTTTCTGAATCGTTGGGAAGTGTGTGGGAAGAGGTTTGGACACTGACAGTGCTCCACTGGGGCAGAGCTCAGGGGAGTCAAATAATTCACTGTCCCACTGGTTTTCAATGAGATATATTCCATCAAACAGTTTAAATCACAGATGTTTTGGGGTAGGTAACTTAGTGTGAACTCCATTAGGAACCAGAATTACTCAACGTGGGAAAAATCTGACAGTGCTCTGCAGGGACTGGCACTTCAGTCTTTACTCTTCAGTTGAAACCCTCATCAAAAGTGATATTTTTTTAAGTTAGATTTCATTTCCTGGAGGCTGGAGGAAGCAAACATGGAGGAATTCAAATGACTTGCCTGTGAAGAGTTGGCTTCAGTGCAGAAATACAGTCCTTCTCTAAAATGTGCTGTATGATAGATAGGTCAAATATTGTGTTCTAAGATTTACCTGTCAAGGAAACCACTGTTAAAACAGCAAAACTCAACCCTGACCCTCCACTGAGCTCCAGGTTTCCCAAATGTCTTTCAGTCCTTTTGGCCCAGTGTTAGAACAGAAGGGGCAGTGGGGAGAGAAGAGAGTGAGTGGAAATTGGGTCTTTTCACAGATCCTTGTGCACTTACTTGTATTCAAAACACCCCCTGTTCCTGACACATCTTCAGCCCAGAGGGTTAAAAACAAATCTCATCCAGTCCCTTCTTGTGAGGTCCTTGGATATTGTGTTCTCTGGAGCAAGTGCTAAATTCTGATTTGAGGTTGTGGAGTGTTCACTGCAGGTATCCAGGCTTTGGAGACTGGCATGGAATGTCACATTGTCTGTGCTGTGGGTTCATCTGATACCAGGATCAGTATTTCCATCTCTGCTCTGTTATAAAATGGGGAATCACATAAGTTAGAGTCAAACAGTGTGACTTTGGCCACATACTGTTGTTTATCTGTAAGCAGTGGAGGAACAGTGGATGTTTGATCAGTTCCCCAAAGTGCCTCTGTCCTAAATTTGCCCCTCTTTTCTAACCCCAGTGTGCACTGCAGCAGCATTTTCAGTCCCAGGGCTTTCCAGGGAGAGCCTGGGCCTTGTAAACAGGGTGGTGCCAGTCTCACTTCCAGCTGCATGAGCTCACAAGGCCATAAATGATTGGTGTCATAAGTTTTAGAGGCTCTGCATGTGATTCTACAGTAGCTGAGATCATCTGGGGAGCTAAATCCAGTAGCCTGATGGAGGCCAGGGGAGCAGGGCTAGAACAGCCCTGGAGCAGAGCACTTGGTTTGGGAAGGCTCTGCTTCCCTTGGGCTGCTCGGGCAGGAATTGGTGACCCACAGGAAGTGTGACATGACTGACTTGTTTTCCCAAGATTTCCTTGGCAGGGGGGGATGTAATTCAGCAACTGAAGCATTTGAAAGAAGGGGAAATGTTTGGGATATCAGATATGAAGAGAGGAGTGTTTTCTGTGCAGGTACAAGAAGCTGCAGAAGTGCTTTGTTACAGAGGCTTCATTTTTCACAGTGTTTGATTTTTTACTTGCATTTTGGAGCAGGTAATACCCCAAATGTGCCTGTTTTACCACACAGAGAATTCCACTGAGGAAGGAGCATGGCCTACAGCTTCTGAGAAGGATGGGAGATGTGTGCTGGTGGAATGGGACCATCTAAAGCAACTGTTGAGTTTGGCAGGGCCACAGTTGCATATCAAGGCCTGTTTATTGCCTACATGAAAAACACTGGCCTTTCCTAACAAAATGTGGAAAACTAGCATCTTGGAGGCTTTACACTCCCTTGGAGAGACAACTGTGCTTTCTTTGAGATGTAAGGGAGTTTTGGGAGGTGGCCAGGGTATTATCATTTAATTTTGGTGCCAGAAGCTTTCCTCCTATGACTAGGAAAGGAATTCAGGAAAGGAAACACAAGGAATGATGTTGTCACAGGAATGAGCCTCTGAACAACTACTGATTTTTAAACTGGAATTTATAGTCTCCTTGAGGCCAAACCTTGCCCTTTCTGCTCAGGACAAGCCTCCCACTGAAGCCAATTAACTCAATTGGAGTCTTGCCTAGGAGAAATTTTGGATTGCAGTTATCCAGCCTAATTGCCAGAACCGTTGTTCTAAGTCAGTGTGAAACTGGGGTCTTCGAGGAAGAGCAGAAGGTAGATAAATACACTCAAATGTAAAGCATTGAGGCAAATTTTGGGTGAGTACAGAAGAATATGGAAGAAAACATCCTGAGGGTGAAGATTGTCTGGGCACAATAAACAACCAAATAACTCCATCATGTGTCAGTGAGGGGTGTCGAGGGCAGGCCGTGAGGGCCCTGCCCAGGGGTTGCTGCCATGGCACACACAGGGATTAGACCTAAACATCCTGAATGTAAAGCTCTAGGAACTGGGAATAAATACCCCCAGTAGAGAAAGAAGTGGGAATGGATTGTGACAGTGAGACTGGATGTATCTCCTCTGTTAACATCAGATTGGTCATTCCTGAAGTTATGGGAGCTTCATTTTCCACTTGTTACTGATAGAAACCCAGAAACAAGAAGCTGAGCTCACAAGGACACAATTCCTGCCAAAGAAATTCATGTCATGGTGCTCGAGATTTTCAGTCTATTCAATGCAATGCAATGAAAATTCAGCCTTAACATTTTTATGATCTTGGTGTGAAAAGAGTCTCCAAACACAGGAGCAGAAAAGCTGTAGGTGTGGCTGGGAGCACAGGCTCTGACATGTTATTGTCACCATTTCACAAAGGGTGTCCTGGTTCAATGAGGTGACACAGTGCTTCTGGCTTTGCTGTGTCAGTCTGACCATGCCAAAATATTTCTGATAGTTATAGACTGAAAATCAAATCTTAGTCCATCAGACTCAGGGCAAACTCTTCTGTTCCATTTAATTTCTCTGTCTTTAGTTCAGGTATTCCTGTCCATGTGTACTACACTGCCTCTGTACTTATTCCATACTTAGATTTACCAGCCTGCTCTGGATTTTATTTACAGATCTCCTTTGCTCCACAGAACTCATTTTCTCAATTCATATTATTTGGTATAATTATCTTTTTTTGTTGTTCTTAACACCACTGACTTTGCCTGGTCAGTTGTGATACACATTACAAATAAATATTTTTTGAAAACAGGTGAGGATTTCCTTGTTTTCCCTGTCCATTCCCTCCCAGCTTTCCAATGAGAGCACATTCAGGAATGAATTCCTTTCCAAGTTTTTCCCTTTCCTGGAAAAGGCTGGATGACCCACAGTCTTCATAAAAGGTAGCAGCCAGGGCTGTAAATGATCTTGTGTTTTCCTGAACAATTAATGAACAGAGAGGAAGGGAAATTAATGGGGGCCTCATCCATCACTTGTCTTATTCAAGATTTATGCTCTGATTAAAGTACTTGACAGTGGTCCTGTGTACACCAGGAACTACTCCCTCTGGAATGTTGCATGAGGTTGTATCTCAGATGGGTTTTGAGGTGGGATTATCAATGGCTCATCATAAGAACACTTGAGGCAGCTCAGACATGGATCTTCAGCTGGCAAAAGCAGGAAAGCTCTATGGAAAACAAGCTGTGCAGATTTGTATCAGCTGAAAAGCTGTTCCAGATTTCTTCTTTTCCATTTGTGCCTCCCTGGTTGGGAGGATCGCAGAGGTTCTGACTTGCTGTCTCCTCCCATGGGCTAACAAACATAAGGGAAGGTGTTCCAGCCCAAATAATGAACTGGAGCAGAATGCTTTGGTTTTATTAGCTGAATTCTTTCTTTTTTTTTTTTTTTTAAGCATATGAGTAAGAATAAAGTAGATGGAAAGCAAATCGAGCAGGGCTGTGTGAGTTTTGGCTACAAGCAACTTGCAAACTGTGAAGAATAAAAAAAGAAGTTGCTGATTTAGGAAGAAAAACACCATCTCCACAGGCACTTCCCCCAGCTGTGGGATTGAAGAGCAGCACATCCCCAGCGGGCAGGGATGTCATTCCATGCTGAGCACACGGACACGGCCCAGGAGGGAGAACTCCAGAGCCTTTTGTATGGAGCAACACATGACCCAGGAATGTACCTGTGAGCTGATTCCATCAATCATGTTCAAAATCACTGGAAATGCCTCTTCCCTGCCAGTTTGATGGGGTCCCTCCAGCTCTGTGTCTCTGTAGAGTTTGAGCTTTGGCTGCACAATGGGCCTCGAGGAGGACAAACACCTCTGAGCTGTTGGAGGTCACACAGGACATCTGTATTCCCACTGAGAATGGCATTTCTGCTCCAGAACTGTATGGAATCTACCTGAAGGCCATCAGGGACAGCAAGGTGGCCCTCGAGGGGCCAGCATCGCAGGGAAGAGGTGAAGCCCTGCCATCAATCCCTTGTCAAGGACTGGGATTCCCAGTCAAGGAAGGGGAGGTGATCACAGCAGTGTGAACTTCACCCAAAGAGCTTCAGCTGGGGCTCTGAGAGTTTATTTGGCTGAAAGAACCCCCTGTGGGACTACCTGAAGTTTGAGCCTTAACAGAAGACAAGGCTGAAAGCACCACTCTGAGCTTCAACAGAGGACTCTGCAAACACGAAGTCATAACAACCCACGTAGGATAATGTTGTTGATGTTCCAATAGTCCGAAGATTTATGAAAATAGCTTCTATTTACTCAGCTGGAGAGAGCCCTGTTCTCCTGAGTTTTGTTACCCCATAAAGCATTCAGAGGAGACCCCATAATCATTTCAAAGTCAGAAACATTAAGTGGAATAACAAGTATAAACCCTCTCCACAGTGACTTTGAAGTGCAAGAAGCATGGCCTTGTAGCCTGGAATATTATGGAATATTACTCTGCTTTGAGCCGGGTGGGAAGAAACAGCTCCCAGGCAGTTGTTTCAGGTGGTGAAAAGTCCGTAGTTTTCCTCCCACGGAAGAAGTTGGTATAAAAGAAGTTAAAGTTGAGCAGTAAAATAGGTGATTAAATTCCCACTGAAATTCACAGGAGCTTTTCCCATGATACCAATGAGACTTGGATCCAGACCTCCTGTGACCAGGTACAGTGATAAGGACAGCAGGGCACAGCCCCAGTGCTTTGCCTTCCTGTAGCCCAGGGCAGAATCCTCCCTGGAAAATGAGATCTTCTGTCTGCAGAACACTCACCTTCACCTCTTCCCAAACTGGGCCTGTATCCTTTGAAAGACATTCCTGGGAAAGCAGTCCTCCCTCTGTCAAGGCAGAAATCTGTCTTCCAGCAGAGAACTCTGCCTCCAGGACAACTCCTTTCCCTGAGCACTGGCTGATTTGGGTTGAGCCCAAACAATGAGTTCCCAGAGCAGGAGGGAAGGCAGGAGGATCTGGGAGAGGCTCCTTTAGAAAGATCCCAGTATGTGAGTGAGGGGACAGGGAGGGCCTCGCTGGGGCTGGGCCAGGAGCCCAGCAGAGTCCAGTGGAGCCCAGCAGACCTGCAGCTGTGGCAACAACCCCACGGGTCACCTCCAGTTGCTGGGGGAGCCTGACTCCCCTTTGGACCTCAGCATTGGTTCTGTGCTTTTTGTGGCTGACTGAGAATCCCAGGAGTCCTAGAAGGGCTCCTGGAAGATTTGTGTGTTTGCTTTCTACAACCAAGAGCAGAAGAAAGCTGCTAAAAGGCCTTCCTAGTGCACCTCTGGGTAAGTGTCTGGGTTGTGTTGTGGGCTGTGTACAGTGCAGGAGATCTCCTGGTATTTCAGAACAAGAATCTGTAGGAAGCAGGAGCTAAATCTTATCAGGTTGTGCTAAGTCTTATCAGGCCTTGCAAATCCTACCTAGTTCCTTTGCTGTTTTAGAGGAGGAATTATTCAGCAACCAAAGAATGTTGGTTTTTTCCCTATTGCAAGGGGCAGTGAGGTCAGGTAGTGGTTGTGTTTGGAGCTTTTTTGAACCCTTTGGCTCCTGCAAGGATGGCACTTGAGCAGAACACAGGACACTGTAGCAGGAGCCCCTTTGGCCTGAAGTGAGGGCTGTTTTATACCCACACAATTCTGCAGGCATGCACAGCATTTAGTGATCCCGGGAATTGCTTCCCGCCGGTTCTGGCTGCCCTGGGAGAGCCCAGCGCTGCCGGGCTGTACCTGCTGCTCCTGGAACACCCCAATCCCTACCTGTGCCATCGCCCGCGGGGGTGACCTGGTCATTGCTGCGAGGCCCCACGAGGTGGCAATAGCAGGACACGGCTCCCGTCGGGACACGGCTCCGAGGAGCGCTGCTGTCCGTCCTTTTGCCCCTGGAAACAGAGATTCGATTGAATCACAGAATCATAGAACCAGCCAGGTTAGAAGGGACCTCTGAGATCATCAAGTCCAACCCTTGATTCACTACTGCCGTGGTTCCCAGCCCATGGCACTGAGTGCCACATCCAGTCTCATCTTAAAAACCTCCAGTGATGGAGAATTCACCACTTCCCTGGGCAGCCCATTCCAATGGCTGATTACCCTCTCTGGAAAGAATTTCTTCCTAATATCTAACCTAGACTTCCCCTGGCAGAGAATATCGGGGTGCAAAATTCTTGCAGTTGGTAATTTCCACTTGGTTGATCTCTGACTGTGAAACAAGTGTCTGGTGTGTCCCTGGTAAAAGAGCACTAACAAATTTTGCTGAGAGTGTTTGGTACCAATTCCAGTCCCGGGGTTTGGTTCCAGTCCAGAGGACCCCAAGGGTTGGTATCTACCTGGGTGTCACCAGTGCCCCTTTTCCCAGAGGTGCAGCACTCTCCTACTGACTCCCTTGGAGCTGTACCTGGCATATCTGGGATAGGGCTGGGGAAGAAAGGATGTTAAATATGCTCTGATGCTGCTTTACTGCTTGTATTTTTTCATATTGTCTCTTTAAAGGTATTTACCAAGCAACAGAATCTGTGGCTGCTGGTAAGTGAAGCCCTGTTCTCAACCAGATCCTTAATGTCTGTAATGCAAATAAGGATGATAAATCTCAGAATAATGAGTGTTACACTGCCCTTCCAATGGTGCTGTCCCACCTCAGGAACGGACTCTCCACCCCAAACATATGAGGTGCTCTGTGTTTTGCACCATTGCCAAACAACAAAGCAAAGCTCTGAGGGTGGAAGGGTTTGGGCCAGGTCCAGCATGTGCATGTGCAAAGGGGGGAGCAGTGGGACATCACCTCCCAAACTCAAAATGTGCCCTAAAACACCTCCAAAACCCAGTGCACTGTCAGGAGGCACCACTGAGAAGTGCTCCCTGTAGAAAGCTGTTCCCAAACTTCTTCAATGCCCATAAGCAGTGGTCTCTGCAGGCCCAGGCTGAGCACCCATTAAACAGTGTTAAATGCTGGACAAATTGGTTTTTTTATAAATGCAGAGCAGAGACAAAGCAATCCCAGACCTCGCACTGTCCTTACCTGGTGACTCCAGGCAGGCTGTGCTGACGTGGGCAGTTGGGTTTCCTTGCTGGAGGAAAAGGCATCCCTTGCTGTCCCTTAGGAGAGTGTGACAGACACAACCCCTGTCAAGGTGCACGGCACTGCAAGTGTGGCCCTGCAGTGGTCACAGCACATCCTGCCTGCCTTGCTCCCTTGCTCGCTTTTGCTGCTTCAGGGCAGCTCAAGAGCCCAAAATATGGGGCTGTTTCCCCAGATAGGTGCTCCAAGTGACCCCCAGGCTACACAACTAACATTCATGGGCAATATCAGCTGACCAAGGCTAGGTTGGATGGGGCCCTGAGCTCCCTGGTGTCCCTGCCTGCAGCGGGGGCGTTGGACCCAGCTGATCTTCAAGGTCCTTTCCAACCCAAACCAGTCTAGGATTCTATGATCCTACAACCAGACATCCCAATTTGCATCTCCAGGCTGTGGAGCTCATAGTAAAATCTGTGGGACAGCATGTGCTGGAGGCTGAGTGCCCACAGCTCCCTCCCTGCTGGGAGGGTTTGTCCTCCTGGGACAGCATTGGGAATTTCCTGACTCACCTGGGGGTGATGGGAAGGGATTGTAAAGACCAACTGGTCCAGAAGGGAAGAACTGCAGAGCAGCCAGGAATGGGGACAGGGAATGCAAATTTAAATTTTTAAAGCTTTAATTAAATTTTTTAAATTTAAAATTAAATTTTTAAAAGCAGTCAGAGGTTTTGTGCTGTGAACTCTGCACTGCCTCTGTCAATGGCATTACAGCAAACTTCTGCA